TATCACCACCCCACCCCCCCCTTTCACCCCTTCACCACTACAATCACTGAGATTGTGGAGGAAAGCATTCCTATTTGCCACACCTCTTAGAGGCTGGCTCACTTAGGGTCAAAAAGCTATATCAGCGACCCTTTTGCCTTTTTTACCCTTGAGAGAATATAGAAAAAAAGCCAGGCAAGAAAAATTCAAACTTCAAACTTTCGACCTTTTAAGTGACATGTCGATACTTGTACTGATGGTCATAAATGGTCGCTTTTAAGGACAAGCGAGGTAACCCAGATTTTGGGGGTTTCCAGAAATGTTGACCTACACCAAAAGTGGGCATTGCCCTACCTATAGGAGAAGTTTGGTTTCATTGGTGTGAATATTTGTTTGGTTATAGAGAAAACGCAACTTGTCTTTTAAAGAAACTGAACAAGGGGCAAAAACTTCATCTTCGATTTTCTCAAAAGAACATTTTTCGGGATAGCCCCCTTGTCCTTAAAAGCGACCAAATGATAGTTAATGCCTTGTGCCCATATCAACACTGTTTTGATTGTGTAGGAGGTGGGCTGCTTCAACCCTGCCTGACAGAGTCAACCAAGACCGCACAAGATACACATCCATGTACAATGACATAGATACTTGATGAAATAACTTCCCTATGCAGGGACTCAAATTCTCTTTTTCTGCATGCAGTGACAAAGAACCCAACTGCTACGGACAGAAAGCAGTTCTTTTGCTTTGAAATGTTGATAATAGCTTGGAAGGAAATTTTCAAAATTAAAAAAAAACAACTTCATTCAACGCATCTGGAGAATCAACTTTTTTAAAGCATGTTCAATGATTCATTTGATTTTCAAGCCAAGTCAAAATAGCACCCTAACGCATCTTGTAGACTAATCTATTCAGAACAGTACCATGCTGTGCTATTCACCATTACCATGCGTTATGTGTACGTGCCAATTACGTTAACAGATGAGAAGTATTTAAATTTAATGCAAATAAAAACGAGTCGCCTGACTATTTATCACACAGAGACAAGGAGCCTCTAAAGCTTGGGTTCATTTGTCTTGTGCAAGAGGCAAGCACTATTAGGCCATCTTAGATTTAAGAAAGCCTAGGGAAAACACCATTGGAATTATTGGAGTCTTTCTTTTCCTTTCCATTGATTTGCTATGTCTTTGTATCTGTGCCTCTTCATCTGTCTGTCTGTCTGTCTGTCTGTCTCTCCATCTCTCTCTCTCTCTTTTGCTGCCTTACTCTTTTTAAGAGCATGAGGACAAGAAGGTGGAGGGAAGGGGCAGAAGGATGACCACTCTCAGCTCACCTTGAGGTCAGCCTCAGCCAGTTTGATTCTGCGTTGTAGATCTGGGTTCAGACCTGTGTAAAGGACTACCTCTCGCCTGGGAACAAAGAGGTACTGCACATTTCATACGCAATTCAGACACATGCAGGCCTACAGATCTATTAGTTTGTATGTTTGAGTAACAAGAAACTCATTGACACAATAACTGTCGCGACTGAGTGCAGGAACAAAGCAAGACGGAAGAAAAAAAAGAAGAGACATCAATTTCACAACACGACGCATGACAAAAACCTGAAGAAAAAAAAAGAGTATAAAGAAATTTTTAACCTTGGTTCTTCTACGCTATATTTCCCTGTAAACCATATGAAACCACCACACCCAGGTTCATACCAATTGCTCAAGGCCTACTGAGAAACAAGTTCAACCACCATCTTTTCACTGTGAAGTACCACTAAAAACCACAGTGAAAGAAACATGCACACACACACACAAACAGAGAGAGAGAGAGAGAGAGAGAGAGAGAGAGAGAGAGAGAGAG